GTATGTCCGTGAATACTTCTGAGTACTCTCACATTGCCAAAGAGGAGCAGCTCAAATGAAAAAGTGTTTGGGGAGGCGAGGGGAAGGGTAGAAGGAGGGGGGGGGGGTCGATTCCGATTCAATGGTATATATAACTCACATGATAACCAGTTTGAATGCTGTGAATTGGAAAAGATCTCTTTTGATCATAATGTAAATGATAATGATTATTTCTATTATAATATTGAACCTGTAAAAATTGCGTGTCGTCATCACCTGTGGCGACCGACTGTGAGATCGATTCAACTACTCCTGCTTTGTAATTGGTTCGTGACTGAAGTTCATTAGAACATAATTATGCAAGAATTAGTGCTTAAAGATGGCTTATAACAAAAAGTGAACCTTAACCATTACAAGTCGTAAGCCGATTCCTTGCTTTGCTGCAACAAGAGAATAGCGGGAAACACGTCAACATTTTCAGCAAAAAATGCATAGCCAAGGTTTCACAGTACAAGCTTCTATAACACAACACAAGTTTAAAGAAAAGAATGGAGATTTGATGTACGATGACACATTCTTGGTACAGTCTAGTAGATATTAATGACAAATTATGAAGACAGCAAAAAAGCAACACAAAAAAGAACAAAAAACAAACAACAACAGAAAGCAAGCAAAGTACAGTATCCCCTGGTCAGTAGATTTGATGACTTCTAATAGTTAAGTAAAAAGCTGATCTTTATTTGACAAGTGAGTCCCAGCCGAGTCGACTTTACGCCTAGATTCTAGGCCCGATCATGCAGACACAGCAAGTCGAATGAATGTGTAGGCTATTTTTGATAAACTGATCGCATTGGCCGTACCATCGACGGTAATTAATAAATAAGGTGCGACAACAAAGCGAGACCAACACTGGTGTGTGTAATTTGACGCCCAGAGTCGACGGAAGACCGAAGATGTGGGCGCTCACTCTTAGAGAAATAATCAATAACTTTCTGACAACTGATATGAGAGTGCGCCGTGCGCTATGGGAAAGTGTATGGCCTCGGAGATTGACTGGCGTCGCACTTTACAGCTTGGGAGAAAATGTATGAGGTTTTGATAACTTTTTTATACTATTATAGTTTAGACCAAACTGTGCGCCAGAATATCTGCGAAGTGAAGTGGCATAGTGCTAAAAGGCACAGTACAAATCGTTATGAATATTCATCATTCGGTCGTCATGCAATTTACAAATTGAATGGAATGCGTAGAAGATTAGTTTTAGTTTTTAGTAAGAGTTTTACGGAACTTGAAACACAAATAATAATTCATACAAGTACCAGAGATTTGAGATGCTACTAGAGAGTAACATACAAAGATGAGAAAGAGGTAAGGACGATAGATATTTGGATGGAAAGAAAAAGAAAACGATACCAGAGCACATGCCAACCACTCACGTTGGAGATTATCAAAGACGAGATTGTAGTCGTTGCATTTAAGTTTGGATATTAAGAAAGTGTAATTATTTTAAGGTACTTTTGTTGCACATGCTGCCTTCTCGTAGCCCAAAGGCCTTACTCTGGGAATTGGGAAGCCGTAATTCTATTTAGCGTATTGCACGGCCTTGTTTGGGGGAGGATGGTTCGAATCCTTAGTCAAGTCTTCCCGACACTGTTGTTTTAAAAGCTTCTTTGACTGTCCATCACGTGTACAACGGGGATTTGTCATTTGAGATAGGGATTAGGTTTAACTCATCTGAAATTGCTTTTTTTAAAATGTTTTGTCATGTTTAGTTTTAGTAGAGGTTTCACGGCGGTCGCAACTGCATAAGATCAAATGAGCGCCAGAAGATTAGAGCTGTTACAAGAGAGTAACAAACATACAAAAGAAGAAGGGAAGATATGGACGATAGATGTTTGATTGGAAAGAAGAAGCAAACCAGACTACAGCACCCGCCAACCACTCACTTTAAAAATGTGTTAGATAAAACATTCCCATTTCGCCCCATACCGCTCTATACCTCCCAAAACCATACCATACTTCCCCATACCTCCCCATCTCCCCATACTATACCACACCATACCATACCATACCATACCATACCACACCACACCATACCACACCATACCATACCATACCATACCATACCATACCATACCATACCATACCATACCATAC